ACAACAGGCTCTGCTGCTGCACAATGCACAACACTCACAGAAATTTAAGATTTATTCTTATGCAGAATAGCTGCATAAAGAATGAAGAGAATGATGTAGTGAGACTTGAAGCATTGTAAATGACTGTACAAGAGACAAATAATGGAGAATTAGGTCCTTGATATTTCATGTAATGCCTCATTGATTCCAGACTTAGTACCACTTCATACTGCACGTGTGGTTCTAGTACATGAAACTGCTTTCTCTCAGGTAAAATTACAGTTGGAACCATAGGATGTTGGGATGCATATCTTTGAGTGGTTTTTCCAAATGTTAGGGAAGTTGATGTAAATTTTCTTTAAAGTTTGTCTTCCTTGCTTTGATTGAAGTTCATAATTGTAGATAGTGTTTCTAAAGGACTGTGAAACTGATCCAGACATGCTATTAACAGAGAATGGAAAAGATTTGGCGTCTGAAATGTCATGAGATTTTTTTTTAACAGTGTGGCAAACTATTTTTGAACTGATATGTTTTTATTTACCTTATCAAAGGTTTAAAAAGCACAGTGATAACACGCTCATCTCATAGACATTTTCAAGATTAATAAGTTATCTTAAAACTTTCTGCGTTATCTCCACACTTCAGTTCACCAAGCTTTCTGTGTCTGAACATTTTAGAGAGCCTTCAAGTAATTTTCAGAGGGATTGCTTAAAATTCAGAGCATGCCACGATGAAAGCTAGCTTCCCTGCAATGCTTTTCAAGTGACCAAGTAACCTACTGACTTGCGTTACAGTACGCAGTTCATGACATCCTGTCCTCATGAATCACTGAAATTGCTCTTTCCAGTCATACCCAAGGCTCTCCTCCTACCTACCCTCACACCCCTTCCTGTACCTGTCACCAAGAGTTGCTTTTACTGCCCTGGTTTGCAAGAGACACAGTTTAACAAATGCTTTACCAGCATTTGGGGAGTGGTATTTTCTCTTGTCTAAGCTCACACACACACTCATATCAGGCTGTGCATCTCATTCTCAATTAGAATTTTTTAATTAAATTAATAGCACTGACATAACTGCATGGTGAAGTGCCGTTCAAAAGTGAAGCCTGTGAGCCCTTTCAGGGGAACAGAAAGGGGAAAATGACAGTTTGGATCTAACTACAGAAGAGGTTGAGAAGATGACTAGAAGGATGCTCTACGGAGGCATGAAGGAGCTAGCATGTGACGTTTTCTGGGTCTGCATATGAGAAAGGATGTTTGGGCGGATACTACAGAAGCAGAGAACATCCCTAGCTGTTGGCCACAAGATACTTTGAGGAATGGTGGGAGGAAGTAGTGTTGCCCTTAGGTAGTCCTGAGTGCCTACTGGGCACTCAGGCTCTGTACTAAAGCAGTTACCATCTCTCTGCAGCTGGAGGAGGGGGAGGACTGTAGCTGTAGGTAAGAGGAGAATCAAAAGGCAGTGGCTGAGATTTGGGGCTTTTCACTGGTGTCTGAAGGCAATGTCTTAGTGATAAATCTGGACCTACTGCCAAACCTATGCCCAGAAAGCTTGTGTGATGTCTCTCCTTACCAAGAGGCTTCCATCTCCTGTGTTTGCACTGGTTAGTTGACATATTGTAAGCATTCAAATTCCATTCTCACCTGTTATATAGGATTCAGGCTGTGTGTGTGGCTACCTGTTATGTAGCAGAACATTCAGCCCAGTCCTAGAACACGTATGAGGACTTTCCATCTATATCTTGCATTTCACAACAATAGACTGGCAATGCTATCTCAGTTTTACGAAAGAGAGACCAAACTGAAGCACTGCAGTGTAATATGCTAAGGGTTAGCTACAATGTAGAGGCAGAGACCTGCTCTTCTCCCTCGCATGTTCTACCCTCTGCAGAAGACTTTTTCTCCAGTATAACACAGAAGCAAAAGAGAGAGAAACTGGTGTAGGCAGAATGGCTAAAAAAGCCGTACTGGAGTGACAAAGAGGATTCTGGGTTTGTCTATCCTGTCTGCTCTGTGGAGAGCAGAGACCCCAGTCATACTCTGTGCTGTAGCTCAGGCCTGGACACCTCATTTGGATGGGTTGGGAACTGAGGTTAGCATGCTGGCATTGCTGCCCAGCAGAAACACTGAGCTCAACTCTTCTGAGCATGGTGCAGATGCTTTGAGAACATGCTGCAGGTGAGCTAGCACCAGCCAGATGTACAGAAAGGGGAGTGATCAGATGGCTCCTGCCATTTAATCCAGAGCTCAAAACTGTTCTTCAGTGAAAAGTGCAGAGAAGTGACTCAGAATAGCTAAAGGAAAAGATGAGCATTTGAACACACAGAATCACTGCTCCACCATCCTCCCTTATCCTATTCATCAGCCCTGCACGCTCTCTTAAAAGGAGGGGGCTTGTGGATACCTTGTTGGGCATTTGCAAACACACACATACACATGCACACATTTCTTTTTATTGCCTCACTTCTACCTGTAATGAAAAAAGGTCCCCGCTGCGGTCAGACTTCGCGTTGTTTGATTTCAGCACAGATCACAGTGATGACGGCTTACCAAAGGCCTTTTGTGTGCGTATTTAACACTGCAGATGCCAGGGTAAAGAGAAAACTCAACACACTAAGCAAGACCATCTAAATACTAATAAAGACGAAGGGTGATTGGAAGGAGTGGAAATCAGAAAGCCCACAATCCAGGTAATTAAGCTGTAAAGCCCACAGAGAAAGGTCTGTCACCAAGTCATCTGATGTGGATGAAGACCAAAGCATGGTGTGATTCTTTGTCTCTTAATCCCCTCCTCCACTCCCCAGGATGTTCTTCTTTCTCTATAAAGAGTTTATATGAAAGGGGGGGGGGAATTATTTAAAAAAAAAATCCTGAAGGATAAATCTTGTTATTCAGAGCACTGAACAGCTGGTAGTTTAAAGCACAGAACATCAGTTTAGTGATTAATTTACCTCTTTAAAATGCTGAACAATAAAATGCAGTAAAATATGAAATTGTATTTTGTATGGCCTCCTTCAAACCGACTTATCCTGGAGCTCTTCCTAAAGTAAAAGTGCAGCTACAGAGTTAAATAATCAGTATAGCAGAAGGGAGAGGTATAAAAAGAGATGTGCAAGGAATAAAAAGATCAGCTCTTCAGGAACCCCCCCTTCAGTCCATTTAATTTTACTGAAAGCAAGTAGCCTTTGCAATAATTTTTACATATTGATGGATTTTCGCCTTGCGTGCCCTTTCCCTCTCCTTCCATCTTACAGGAGCATCTCTGTGCTGCTCCTGCTGCTGCTGCTGGCACTCCCTCGCGGCACCAGTGTGCAGCTGATACCGCTACAGGCTATCTTACACTGGATAGCTGCCAGCTCTCCACTCTGCCTCTCCCCCACGCCTTGTGATTAAATGTTACCTTTGGCGGATGGTTGCCCTGGTACCACCACCAAAGGGGATGCTGCCCTTTTGTCCTGTTGCCCCACACAGAGAATTCCAAGAACCTGCCGTATATCTGTGTCTGCCGTCTGTGACCTCTCTGGAGACACTGAGGAGTGAAGTTCAGTCCTCTTGCATAGATAGGTGTGACTGACATGCCGGCAAAAGAGAGTGTATATGCGTGTGTGTGTGTGTGTGTGTGTGTGTGTGTGTGTGTGTGTGTACACAGAGGGGAGAGATAAGAAAAGTGGAGAGGAAATCAGGCAGTTAATGGTTTTGGTTATGGGGAGAATTGCATTAGTGTGAAGCATACATGGGCAAATTCATCCCTGGTGTAACATCACTGAGCTCCCAGAGACAACACTGGGGATTCATTTTACCCACAAAAATAAGGAGCCACTCGACCCTCATTTGTCAAGCAGCACAAAGCAAAGATGTGAAGAGCCCTGTCGTGGGGGGTTGAGGGTTCTGCATGTTTTGGGAACCCTTCACATCTGCAGCATTCAGGTTTCCTGAAATAACGCTCTGCCTGTCTGTGGTGTTCTTCTTCCACTGTGTAATAATAAGGGATTTAGTTAGCAGACAGATGCTAAACCCATTCTTACTGCATTTAGCATTTCAGAATAATGAATAGATTTGCAAATGATGTTTCGAGACTGCTTATTTTTCAAACAATGGCATCGCTAATGTTCCCAGCTCCTTTGACTTCACAATTGTCTTTTTTCAAACAGTAAAATGTTACAATTAGCTTCCTGGGAAGGGCGGAGGGGAAATGTCATTTCTAAATAATTTCAAGAGATGCCTTGTAGAGAGAAAGGTATGTGCTGATGAACCGCTCAGCCAGACTCCCCGTTGAGTCTCCCTGTGCTGGTGGCACTGCTCTGAACTGGCACTGGTGTAACACGGGAGCTGCCCTCTGAACTTCTGAGGCATGATTTCTTCCCTGGTGGTGCCGGCGAGCTCAGACTCTGATCCTGAGTGTGCGAGGGAAGGCTGCTGGCTTGACATGGAGCATAAAATTTGCCTGAATTCTTAAGTATTGGGCCTGGAAACCCTGACAAGCCTCATCCCAGGGATTTGAAGGTCATCCTCCCCTGAGCAGAGCGTATGGTGGTACTGCAGCCGGCAGCTGAGAAAGCACCTTGTGCTCCTCCAGAGCCGAGCAGCGTCTGTCTGCCTGCCTGCCTCGCTCGCTCGCTCTTGCGCTCTCTCCCCGCTAACCGGTCTTTAATACGGATCTAATTCTGACTCCATTGCGGTGCCGCGAAATCACATTAGGCAGCGCAAGGATGCTCGCCGCCCCTTCAAGCGTGATAAACTCCTGATTGCTTCCCCGAAGCTCTAATGAGCCCGCGAAGGCCGGGCGGGCGGGAAGGAGCGGTGCCAGGGCGTGAGAAGAGGGAGAGGAGCAGGAGGAGTGGGCTGGGGCTGCTCCTCCTCCGCTGAGGGAAGGGGAACTGCCGGCTCCGAGCCCGCCGCAGCCCTGGCTCGCTATCTTTCTCCCTCGCATACTGAGACCCTTGTATATGCCCCAAGCGACGAACCAAGAGGCGGGAAGGGCAGGTCAGGCCGGCCGGCAGCCCGCCCCCTTCTGAGGGACCCCCCCGTCCCTGTGGGGCGGAAAGCGGCGGCTTATCGCGGTTCTGCGTGAGCCAGACGGAAAGGTTGCGGCAAAGGTGGGACGTTTGAGTGATGGGTTGGCACAAGGCAGTGCTTATCTCTTTAAGAAATGGAAATGAGGTCTAATTAGCATAGACTGGTTGCAATTAGCATATGAGTCCCGTTCGGGGACTTGGAGGAAGGGAGAGGGCCAGGCAGCAACTTAATGGGGTTTTATTAGGCGAAATTAGCCACCGCTGAACAGTCATAAAAATATCTAAATTATTAGTAGCTCTGCAATTTATCGTGAGTGCTTCCCGGACATGCTAATATCTATTGGGTCTGTGCTGTGCCTGCTAATCACAAAAACAAACTGCGGGACCAGCAGCATCTCTCCGCTGTACATTGTTATGCTGTTGTAGGCACGGTGTGACAGCTTTATACGGATATATATGCGCGAGTGTGCCTTGGTTTGAGGGGTACATTTTTGCTAATGCCTTATGAGTTATGTAAATGGAATACATTTGAGCAAAAATGACAAACTGGTCTCTAGAGGAGCAAGCTCACCTAGAATATAATGGGGGGATTGTGGGGGAGGCTGAATCATACGGCTTTTGTTGAGTCAGAATGAAATGCAAAACTCCTATAGTTGTGGCAATCATATGCATTCAGAACCCAGAAGAAAAGCCCCTCTGTATACGTGATGATCTTCAGAGACAGAGGATATAGAAAAACCACTCAAATACATGTATTTTTAACACATCCATGCTTGCCTTTATCCTCACACAGGTTAGAGGCTCTTTTTAATGAGCACCAACTACAATATCTGCTCTAGGAGGAGTCCAGTTATTGTCTCTTTCTCCAAATGTGATCAGCTGGGGGTGCGTCCTGTGAAAGGGGAGTAGTGAAGAATCAGCATTTTTAATTCATAGTGAGAGGTCAGGCAGACTGACCCAAGACAGGGTCTGACAGAAAGTTTGCTATGAAGGTGGGTAAAAAATTCCCAACAGTAAGAATAATTACACCATTCTCACCAAGCTCCTTGCTCAGTGTCTCAAGAAAGAGGCGGTTCCTCTTCCATTGGCAGGTCTTTTCCATTGAATACGTACAAACATAGGACTTCTGGGCTGCGTCCAGCAGAAACTTAGCTAAACAGTAGGTGTGGATGCTGTGGCACTGGGAGAGGAATAACACCAAGGCTTATCCTCTTTGTCTTTTTATGAAACAAAGTGTAATTATCCCAAGCATTGCCAGGACCAGCATAAGCTCTTGACACCTGGTGGTGGCTGTGTTTTCACTGGAAGGACCAAAGGAAAACGAGGGGGAACGGTGTAATGTGCCTTTCAGGAGCCAGAATCCTTGTGTTAATTTGTAAGTGCTGCATTTTATCATATTACATGTGTAAGTAACATTATATATGTGTCATATTATATATGACAAAAAGGTCAGAAACAAAACCAGAAAAAAGTAATCTTAAATAGTTGGTATAGCCCACCTGGCCTCCCATTTTGGAACAGGATTTGGAACAACTTCTGCATTTCATCTGTTTGATATGTTCAGAGCACAGTGAGTGTCTCTGAAATGTTGACTGTGGTGCCTGATGAGGAGCCTAATTTACATATTCTCAATTTAATCTAAAGTAGGCGCTAATTGATTACTGCTGAATGTCAGCACGCTCTGATTATCTGTTCAAGATGCTCTGAGAAAAACCTACAACCCTGAGGTGCAAGTGGGAAAGGGGCATTTGAATTCAGTATGCTGTGCAGGCTGGTTTGGGCTGGAACCAAGTTAATTTTCCCTATAGTAGCTGGTATGAAGCCATGTTTTGGGTTTGTGCTGAGAACAGAGTTAGTAATACAGGGATGGTTTAAGTTGCTGCTGAGCAGTGCTTACACAGAGCCCTCTTTTCTGCTCCTCACACCACCCCACCAGCTGGGGGTGCACAAGGAATTGGGAGGGGACAAAGCCGGGACAGCTGACCCAAATGATCAAGGGATATCCCATAACATATGGGTTTATGATATTCATATAAACTAGGGGAAGAAGGTATGGGGGGGATGTTTGAAGTGATGGTGTTTGTCTTCCCAAGTCACTATTACATGTGATGGAGCCCTGCTTTCCCGGAGATGACTGAATGCTTGCCTTACTGATGGAAGGCAGTGAATGAATTTCTCAGTTTGCTTTGCTTGTGTGCACAGCTTTTGCTTTACCTATTAAGGAGTCTTTATCTCAACCCACGAGTTTTCTCACTTTTACTTTTCTGGTTCTTTTCCTGACCCCAACACAGGGGGACTCCTGACTCCCCAGCAGGGGAGTGAGCAGCTGTGTGGAGCTGAGCTGCGGGTTGGGGTTAAACCACAACACCATGGAAGGACTGTTTACTCTTTTACCTCGTATTATATAAAGGTTTTAATTATCCAGGCCTGAGGCTGTTGAGTGACTTCTGCTTTGTCATGTCCTTCCAAGGCAAATAAGACAGATACAAAATTGTCCTTGCTTTCTGTCCAGAATGATTTTTCTCAAACTAGAAATCTCTTGCAAAGGTTTTTTTTTCCTCATCTCTTCCCAACCCTGTCCTTAACAGATTCAGACTTCAGCCCTGAATTTCCTTTCGCTGACTTTGAAGGAACAGTATGAGGTCATAGGAGGAAGGTCAGGCTTACATTTAATATACCATGCTGGATTTCAGGAGACAAGCCATGAACCTCAGCAGTGAAGTGTTCTCTGAACTCAGGACTGGGAGGAAAGCAGTATGTAGTTGATCCTGGCTCTGTGCGCAACTTGCGCCAAATCCCATACCTTCTTTAAATCTCAGATTCCTCTCCTATGACTTGACTGCCTCTTCTTTGTAGGCAGCAAGAGCCATCTCTCACTATTATAGTTGTACAGCGCTTATCATAAGAAAACCTTGACACATCGGCTGATGTAATGCCACTAATCAGACATTTCCAGTCAGGTAAAAAAGCATTACAGCTTTTTACTCTCATACCTCAAACATTTTGGAACTCTTCTCTTTTGCTAAGAACTGAGCTTTTGCGGTTGGCTTGTTTGGGTTTGGTGAGCTTTCTTACCTGGGCACTGAGCCCAGCTTTAATTTGTTTACATATTTTGCAGCATGCCCGATTCTGTACCTGGAGGTAGGTATCTGTCTATTATTTAAATGAATACCTACACCGTGCATGAGTAATGAGTCACCATGAACAAAAATTTTAAAAGTGAGGAAATACTCTCTTACTGTTTCCTTTTTTCTTTTTCTTTCCTTTTGTGACTGGCTACAATTAAGTAGCAAATTGCTGTTTCTTTGGATTACAGTAGGTTTAATCAACACTCTAGCGAGGTCATATTTTCCCTGGCTCAGCCTTGGTATGTGGGGCTATTTCCCCAGTAGAAGTACCTTCTAGTTTAAATCCTGTCATGCAGAAAGGTTTTCCTTCATGTATGCTCTCCCCCTGTGGTTTTCACGAGAGCTCTGCCCTCCAGCTTTTCCAATTCAGCATTCACGGTATGAACTTGTGTGTTTGGGAAGCTGCCAGAGGATGGGGAGCTAAGGCAGCAGTCAGTGCTGTGCAGAAGTGTTGTGGGGTTTATTTTTTATTTTGAGCAGTTAATCTCCATTAGATTGCCTAGCTCCTGTTATGCATCTCTTATATGGTAAAGGACTGTGTAGGAAACGCTGTCATTAAGAAATTTCCATTTCTGTTAGTGCCGTTAAGGTTCTGAATGCTTGAAAGCTGTTCAGCTATGTCAAGTAGTGGCTCTAAAACAACTTAAATATTTTCTTTTTTTTTTCTTTTTTTTTTTTTTTGTAATCCTGCAGTACTTTGGCTTCCTCCCATGCATGCATTTCTAATATGCATTGGTCTATCCCAAACACTTGCCTGCCTGCTTCCAGCTCCTTCAGGTTTCCCCTATGCAGAACAACCCATGTTATCTAGTACCCAGCTGAAGTATTGCTGCATCCTGAAGTCCAGCAATGTCAGCCCCAACCCTGTTCAGAGCTGTTCCACAGATCTCCCCAGTGGCAGGTTTTTGTACCCTGTCTCTGCCTCCTGCCTGCTCATCCTCTCCTGTTTGCCTCCGCAGCTCCTTGTCACACTGACATACATTCATGGCTTCTCTGTCCTGAGTGTCCTGAGGCCCTGTTCCCTCTCACTCGCATCCTAGCCAGCAAGGCTGGACTTTCCCCAGGGGAAATGAAATGCAGATATGCTTGCCATAACTCATCAGATGAGGAGTGTGAGCCAGCCCTCACAAGGAGGGCACGCCTCCACCCCTATTGAGCCTTTGGTCCTGCTCTTCTCTGTCTTCTAGTAACACAAAGCAAACAGCTGCTGGAGTTGGGAGACCCAGAAGAGGAGAGGTGAAGGCTTGGTAGCATTTCCACAGCACTTCTCCACTTCCCTCCCTATCATCAGCTCTGTGCCTGCTCTCCTGAGTGACCTGCCCCCAGTTTGAGACCTGTGTCTTCAGAGCAACCCCACAGAGGGAAGCACTGGCTTGGAAACCCCAGGCACAAGGGCAGAATCACAGGGTGGCCTAGAGGAACCCTCATGTTTCCCCAGCCATGAGAAGTGTGCTGTGAGGGTGCATGTCCTGCATCCCTTTTCAAATACATTGGAAAGGTGCAAGATGTTTCCTAAAGTCATTTTCATACTTCCTTCATGGATCTTACTACCCTTCAGCAGGGACATCTAACCAAGACCTATCGATCAGGGCTCAGCCTTAGCAGGCACAGAAGGAGCTCCACTTAGCCTGGCTGTTCCTTCATGCAGGCAGGTCATCCTGCTTCTCTCAGTGTCTTCTCTTTGGCTAGGCAATAAGACACCCCATGACTCTACATCCTTACCCTCACCTTTCCTTGCAGTTCATATCTCATTTATTTCCATCCCTCTTCTCTGCCATTACCTCTCATTTGCCTACTGCCTGTGCACAACACTGCCCTGCTCTCAGCCTCCTCAACCCTCTTGTCTCCCCTGCCGGGTCCAAGCCATCCCCTCCTCCTCATGGCTGGCACCTCCCCAAAGTCTCCTCTCCTGTTTGGGCCCCTTTGTTCTTACAGTTGTCTGTCAGCTAGGCCTTTATGTGAAAGCAAATCAAAGGCAGTCCACTGTGAGAAAATGGAGAAGTGGCAAAATGACTGGGGATAAGAGAAAGCTGGGATTAGAAAACTCCATTTTTGTTTCCTCTTTCTTCTTCTGGTTTTGGCACAGGTAGCACCAGAGTAGTAAGCTGTGTAAATTCTTTTTCCTCATCCTAGGGAGGGCTAGTCCTTCTTTTATTGCAGAGAAAAACCTTCCAGCAGAACCAGGAGCAAACTATATATTTTGACTGTAAAATGCTGCATTAGAAGAGTTTATACAAATTTCTGTGTCAAGCTGAAGATTTCAACGAAATACTAGGGAGGAATTGCTGGAAAGCATAATTAATAATTATCCTATAACTATCACAATAATTAATGTGCAGTGTTTCGCTTCGCCAGTTTTTTTCAAAATATTTGATTATTTCTGCCTTCACGGTGTGAATTTCAGGTGGTGAAAATGAGTTGCTTTGCACCAGTAGATCTCCTGAATATGCAATGAAGAAACCTGCAGCAGTCAGGAGCCCCAGCCAACATGGAAGATGAGACGGTGAGCTGGGAAACAAAGGTGAATGAGAAAGGCAATGGAAGCGAAGCATTTCGTGCAATAGCTAAAATACAAATCTCTGGAGACTTAAAGATATTGCATGAACATCAATTTTGCATGCCTATTGTCTGAGTGGTATTAGTGTGCGTAGGACTCACAGCCCCCCTTCCTCTGAGTGAGGGGAGCATCATGGCAAATCAGGAAATAGCATAATTGAATCAGCTCCAGCACATGACAGGGCTTAAAAACCGCTTGGACGGGGCACTGAAATGGCAACATACCCCAAGCACCTTGGCATCCAGCTTCCCCCACTGCCCCCAAATTAATTCTGAAAGGAAAGCAAAATTTAAGCCGCAGCAGGAGACAGTCTAGTCATGGATTTCAGATGAGTGGTCTCTTTTGCCATCTGTGAGACTTTATGGCTCAGAAGCTGGATGAAACAGCTTTCTGGAAACTTCTCTAGAGAAAAGGCAGCTAAAAAAATGTGTGTCATGCATATGCTGTTTACGGAGAGCTTGTTTTGTCCATGGGAATAAAATAAAATGCCAGTAATTTACCACTGAGATAACATGTGAGAGACAGAACATGCTGCCACAGGTCTGAAAGATACCGTTCCTAGCCCTCCCTCCCCTTTTGCCCCTACATAAAAGTTGGCAATTAGTTTTTACTGCACATACATGAAGGGAGATACATGTTTTGGCCTCTATGTGAGAGCAATAATTCTCTTAAATTGATGTGTCAGCAAACTAAAACTCAATATTTTTTTCACACAGTGTATTTTGCAGTCAGAGGACTTTCACTAATCGGAGTAAAGCAATTTGGCTCCCTGTCATTGCTCACTGAAAACATATGAGCTGGTTGGCACGTTTGGCCTCCTAGATTTATCAGTGTCTCCCATCTAGTGCATGGGAGGTTCAGGGCTGCAGCTCAGACAGGAGTGAATTTTTATGAATGCTTTTTCCCCTCCCTGAGAATTCCCAGAGCGAGATTTATTCCTTAGTTTCAGAAATATTTTATTTATTGTCCATATCCCATATCCTCTTTAGGTCAACTCAAAGTCATATTTTACATTTTTTCTCAAAGTCGTATTTTACATTTTTTATTTGTACTACTATGTCTTTATTACTTTGTTCCTTAAAATAA